AATTGTTTTTATTTTTCTCAAGAAAAGTACTCTAATATCGGCCCGCGTTGCACTAGCGAGAAATACCAGAGCCGATATATCGGCCTGCACCTCGTAGCCCTTTACTATTCGCATTGCGGGAGAATTCTACCTCAAAATAACTTTATAATACGTTATAAATGGTCTAATTTCATTACGAGAGAATTAAAAATAATAATTAAGTATTATGCAAAATTATAGCACAAATATATTTATGAAAATACGCCAGAATAGGCCACGGAGGAAGAACACGTATGCTTAGAATGAACTATGTGTTTTAAATTCTTGGTTACTCCTCTCAGAAAAAGAGGCGAAAAAGTTATGTCACCCTTGTGACGTTTTATAGCGACTGAATTACGGAGAAGAAAATATAAATCTCCGACATGTTCAACATTCACCATTAGTACATGGTGAATGTCGACATTTACCGGTGTAAGTCAGAAATAAGGGCTTAAAGGGTATTTAGCAAATATTTCGGACATACACCAAGCGACTATGTGAATGTTGACATTCAGCGGTGAAAGTCGACATTCTCCAAATTTCAGTCTTTCACGGTAACATATATGTAATAAATTTTCTATATACATTATAATATTGTCTTTTAAGGTATTTGCATCAATTTGACGACGTTGCAAAGTTGAAAAAGAAAAGAATGTACTAAAATGATTACTCTACAAAATATATTTGAAGAATATGTATTACGGAAATGATTATTACAAATAACTTATAAGAAAATGGAAAACTATACATCACAAGAAATTACAGATGAATGTGTTACAAAGATATGACAAAATATTTATATACATAAAATTAAATTTAATATGTATGAAAGAAATTTTGACATCTAAATACAAAATAATAAAAAGGACAATAAAATATGATTTACAATTTAATCTTAAATAATATAAAATCCTAATATGAATGTATACATTTCGTGATACAAAGGTATGTTGGCGATACAATAGTAATATTGTTATATAATCTGGTTCTAACGCTGAATAGTTATATTTACGTACTACTTGTATTGACTGAAGGTAATCACTTCTACTTTATCAGCCTTACTCGTTTTTTTCGATTGTAGTTTCTAAATTTCCGTTCTGAAATATAGAGTGCACAGTAAGCGACGTCGGTATTTCAGATCTTACGATGCGAACAACAATCTCATGAGTACTTAGTTTCTTGCATGCGATATGTTAGGACATTCTTATTTTTCAGTACAGTGTATTTGGCTTCCGGTTGTACTTCTGAGGGTCTGCCACGCTTTGAAATTTTGCAAGTGAAATTTTGCATTATTATTTACTTTACAACAGTCAGGAACTATGTGTATAATAAAAGAATTTAAAAATCCAACTTTAATGGTTTTGAATTTCCGCTTGTATGGCTTTATTTCTGCTAACACTGTCTGCTCACTAGGAGTGCGACTCTCCCGCCATACTCCTGCTACATCTGGCAAATCATACTAATATCAATTCTTTTTTAAATTTTTTATAGGAAGTCGGTGACGTTATAGCTAATCTATAAACTAATCTTGTCTTTTTTATGTTAAATTATTTTCGCGTTTATGACAGTATCGTACGTTGGTAATATAGGGAATAGAAAATACTTTTTGTGATCATTATTTTTATCAATTTAGGAGCCACTTCTAAAATTTTTGTAAATTCGGTGCATAGAGTCTTCACAAGTAACATTATAACTTTATTTTGCATAAAATCAATATTTGGAAGAATAAATTTTGGCGACTGAAAGAAATTGTTGACGATTTTAATGTCATTCTCTATTTTACCGTTAGAGTATATAATATGTTTGAAATTCAGTATGAAGACAAGGTTTCCGCGAGATGGAGGATTGTGGCCAATTTTTGCAAACAAGCTTCTTTTTTCAAAAGGAAACATCTGTGAGAACGGGTTTTAGCGATTCGAACGAAAAATTTTTACGGAATACATTGCAACCAGCATTTTCATGTTGACAGTATATGCATTAATAGTATTCAGTATTGCTGCCTCCACCAAAAACTTCACCGAACCTAATCAGGCAGTATTTCTGTGTAGACAGCATTTACATTGACAGCATTCAATAAAACTAAACATGAATTTTCTATAATGTACATGTGCATATACATACACATACGTTTATTATACGCGACATCATTTTCAGAATATCGTCGGTACAGTAGGGAACAATACGAAAATGGCAAACAATTTTTTTTCGAGTTGCCAAAAACCGTCCTCACAGATGTTTTCTTTCTTAAAAGGGAGCTTATTTGCAAAGTTTGACGTGGTTTAGAGCATGACAGTTTTGCGAAGAGAAGTCGCGAGATGTAATACATCACGTAATAAAATTTGTTATGAAAACCGAAAATCGAAATTATATAATGGTTAAGGTTTGTTTGTTAGGTATATCTCTTCTAGTACAATGTATTCGAATACAATTTGTTCTGCATACCTATAGTTCGTGGCTACACTTCTGTTAATCTCCATGCACCGAGTTGGTTCAAATTTTAAAAATATGTAGACTTTAAACAAAATTTATCATATGAATGTTATTCCTTATTTTACCAGTACAGGATATTACGCTTTTTACAAAGCAATCGAGATAGTTAAAAATGAATAGACTTAAGTAGTGAATCTGATAAAAATTAATCGTTACTGATATCGATGCTTATAGTTGGCGTGGCCAGTCGCCGTGAGGCGACCGAAGTATTCATCTAAATCTAGCTTAAACTAATCTAATTCGCAGAAGTTAAAATTTGGATAATGTTTGCATGAAAGTTTGAATAGACCTTTCCCATTTTTTTTTGTTTGAAAACGCCACAGAAACTCATATATGTGATCAATGATAGTATTTTCTCCACTACTTCCTGTACCCAAAAAAGGCACCAGGATGATTCAATATTTTGTATATGTATAAACACTGCTATCTGTGTCTACAAAATTAGTGCTATGGTTTACAGTTTTATGAGCACAGTTATATTTATTTTTTACGTAAACCTTTCAGGCTGATATATGTTTCCTAATTAATAGAACGAGAGTATTTTCGTCTCGTTTGTTTCCAGTACATACTTCTAAATGATATTTTTGTCCTTCTGGCTCTATTATCCTTATTCCAAATTTTTAATATAAAATAAGAAATAAAAATGAAAAATATATATGTTGAAAACAACAATATCTATAAAAATTGTACCTAATATATATGTTCCTTCACACAAACATTCCCATTCAAACTTCTTACGTCTAATTTTGCACTCATCAATTTCAATTATTACACTAGGACCGCCGATTAATCTTCCGATTCATATTATATGTAAATGGCTAAGATACACATTTCCTCACATAATGAAAATTAATCAGCAATTGATTCTGTTGAAAGTGTTCCTCATGTTGAGTTTCATTAGATGGAAATCGCCATGCAAAAGCATAAGTTATTTATAAATTTATAAATAACACGTATGATACAACCATTATCTTAAAACAAGTTAAATAATAACTGCTAATAATTGTGTACAGCTGCATTACTATGGTCATACTTTCCTGATTTGTTAATGTTCGGAAATTACCTTCTGTTCCTATTTTATTAATGTAAAGCATCTTCCTTTCATTTTTTGCACACCACTTTTCCCTAGGAATTAAAGTTGCTTCTTGTAGTCATGTACTCATGCTCTCTCATGGACACTCATTTTCTCCATAAGAAAATATAATTTAATGTGATTCATTTTTGTACAATAAGCTTATTAGTAACGAAGTACAACGGATAGAGCTACATGTTACATTGTAATTCTATTATTTCTGATACATCGATACTTTTCGAAAAACAATTGAAATTGGTAGGTTTCATAGCATCAGAACCGCCTTCAAATCTGCTTCAAGTATTCTTGCTGGTACAATTGCGTCAGTAAAATAAGGAAGAACACCTAAATGACAACAAGATTTTTTCTCGAGTCATTATT